CAGCACCACACACACAGCACCACACACACAGCACCACACACACACACAGCACCACACACACACAGCACCACACACACACAGCACCACACACACACAGCACCACACACACAGCACCACACACACACAGCACAACACACACACAGCACCACACACACACAGCACCACACACACAGCACCAACACAACACGCAGCACCACACACACGCAGCACCACACACACACGCAGCACCACACACACGCAGCACCCCACACACACGCAGCACCACACACACAGCACCACCACAACACACAGCACCACACACACACAGCACCACACACACACAGCACCACACACACAGCACCACACACACGCAGCACACACACACACGCAGCACCACACACACACGCACCACACACACAGCACCACACACACACACGCACCACACACACACACACACACACGCAGCACCACACCACACACGCAGCACCACACACGCAGCACCACACACGCAGCACCACACACACACACAGCACAACACACACGCAGCACCACACAACGCAGCACACCACACACGCAGCACCACACACACGCAGCACCACACACACACACACAGCACCAGACACACACAGCACCACACACACACAGCACCACACACACGCAGCACCACACACACGCAGCACCACACACGCAGCACCACACACAGCAGCACCCACACACGCAGTACCACACACACACACAGCACCAGACACACACAGACCACACACACACAGCACCACACACACACAGCACCACACACACAGCACCACACACACACACAGCACCACACACGCAGCACCACACACCGCACCACACACAGCACCACACACACACGCAGCACCACCCACACACGCAGCACCACCACACACAGCACCACACACACACAGCACCACACACACAGCACCACACACACACAGCACCACACAACAGGACCACACACACAGCACCACACACACACGCAGAACCACACACACAGCACCACCACACACACGCAGCACCACACACACAGCACCACACACACACACAGCACCACACACACAGCACCACACACACAGCACCACACACACACAGCACCACACACACAAACAGCACACCACACACACACACAGCACCACTCACACACACAGCACCACTCACCTACACACAGCACCACACACACACACACCACACACACAGCACCACACACACAGCACCACACACGCACAGCACCACACACGCAGCACCACAGACTCAGCACCACACACACGCAGCACCACACACACGCAGCACCACACACACGCAGCACCACACACACACACAGCACCACACACACAGCACCACTCACATACACACAGCACCACACACACACACATAACCACACACACAGCACCACACAACACACACAGCACCACACACGCAGCACCACCACACACACAGCAACACACACAGCACCACACACAGCACCACACACACAGCACCGCACACACAGCACTGCACACGCAGCACCACACACACGCAGCACCACCACACGCAGCACCACCACACACGCAGCACCACAATACACGCAGCACCACACACACACGCAGCACCACCACACGCAGCACCACACACGCAGCACCACACACAGCACCCACACACAGCACCACACACACAGCACCACACACACAGCACCACACACACACAGCACCCACACACACAGCACCACACACACACAGCACCACACACACACAGCACCACACACACAGCACCACACACACAGCACCACACACACAGCACCACACACACAGCACCACACACACACAGCACCCACACGCAGCACCAACACACAGCACCACACACACAGCACCACACACACACATCACCACACACAGCACCACACACACACAGCACCACACACACAGCACCACACACGCAGCACCACACAACAACAACAACAACCGCCATTCGCCACTAAGTGGCGGTGACGTCACCACGACGCTTGTGCCAGGCCATGTGCACCTTGAGGCCACGTGAAGTGTCGAACGCCCGCTGGCAGGAGGTCACGGGGCAGACCCAGTGCCACGGGTCGACTGACCGAGATGACCGAGATGACTGGCTGATGCACCACCTGTACCCCCTACTGTACCAACTTGCTGTGCTTTAGCACCCGGCGCTCCGCTCGTTGTTGTGAGCGTCGCTCCTCCGCCCTCCGTTGTTGTTGGAGGGCGACTGCCTCCAACTGCCCAGTAGCGTCCTTCACGAGCCTCCTCCACTGAGGCCGATCTGACACCGCTGGTACCAGTCATCGGCAAGTCCAATCAGCTCCACGTCCTCCTGTACCACCATCACTCCATCTCTTCTCTAGCCCGTGCCACGCCCGTTTAGCCCCCTCGATCCGGCCGAACAAAAGCTGTTTAGGCATGCGGTGGCTGGGCATGCGGGCTGCATGACCCAGCCAACGCAGCCTTGCTGCCGGGGGAGCTCACTGATGGGACTTTGCCCAGATCTTTCAAGGACTTGTGAGCTCCTCACACAATCCAGCCGGTTAAACCCAGGATGGATCGTAGGCAGGCCAGCCTAAATGTTTCCAACCGGCGAAGATGCTCCACTAGGGGGTCCACGTTTCGCAAGCGTAGAGAAGGGAGGGAATGACCGTGGCCGAGAAGACCCGAAGCTTCGTGCGGAGCGACAGACCAGGTAGCTTCCACACAGCGTTACGCAACCGATGAAAAGATATTGCCGCTCGACTGATTCGGAGTGAGACCTCTGCTGATAAACTGGAGCCGGTCATAAGCACATTGCCCAGGTATGGGAAACTCTCCACTCTCTCCACAAACTTCAACAATTGGCAGTTGTGGGGGGTGGAGTGGCTGATGTTACAAAATACCCAGGCAGGTGCTTAGTTTTGGTGGGGCTGATGGTAAGGCCCCACCTCTTAGTGGCACGCTCCAGTCCTCAGCAGCAGCGTCTCCAACTCCTCTTCTGAATGAGCAGCTATTACCAAATCATCGGCATACATAACGTGGTTGACCAATAGGGAGCCATCCTTGATCGCACCCGGGCATCGATCAGCCTCCCATTATATCTGTACCAGATGGATATTCCCCCGGTACAGCTATTGAAGGCTTCACGAACTACGTGGTCAAAATAGATGTTAAATAATGTGGGAGCCAGAGGACATCCCTGTCGCACCCCAAGGTGTACAGGGAATGGCTCCGACTCCCGGCCACGTAGTTTTACCCGGGGCCCGCTCACCATCATGAAGGTCCTTAATGATCGTGAGCAGAGGGTCAGGGACTCCGAAAGCACGAAGAACAACACCCAGAGCCCAGTCCTACTGATGGTATCATATGGCCTTGACCAGTTCAATAAAGCAGAGATGTAGGTCTTTTTGGAATTCCCTACACCTCTGCTGTAGCAGACGGACAGAAAAATATGGCATCTGTACAGGACCGCCCTTTCCTGAAACCGCATTGGGGCTCCGCAAGCCTCTCCTCAGCGTGCCTAGCAAGGCGATGTTGAATAATCCTTGCCAGGACCTTACCCGGCACACTGAGGAGTGAGATGCCCCTGTAGTTGTTACAGTCGGTACGGTCCCCCTTCTTAAAGAGGGGGACCACCAGGGCATCCTTCCAGTCCTGCGGAACCCGTCCAGTGGTCCAGACTGTTGTTATGATGTCATATAGGGCAGTCTGTGCACAAACACCACCCTCCCTCAGCATTTCGCTTGGGAGATCATCTCTGCCCGGTGCCTTCCCTGGTCTCAGACTCCGGATCGCCCTCAGTACTTCCTCAACAGCTGGCACCTCAGCCAGCCACTCACAGGGGGTGACCTCTTCCAATATTTGAGGCACCGCAGCCTCAGCAGGGTTATCACCACTTTGTGCCATGATGTTTTCCTGGTTGAGAGAATTTCCCTCCCCCAGGACCTCACAGAAATGCTCAGCAAATCTGCAAACCTGTTCCTGGGGGTCGGAGATTGGATCCACCGTTTTTTCCTCTAATGATGGTAATAGGTGTGGCGCTGCAAGTTACTTTTGTGATGGAGTTAAATAGTGATTTGTGATCACGGGCCACTGAGGCAGACTCCATCTCCTCAGCAACCCGCGACCACCACCCATCCTTACAGCGCCTTACGGCTCTCCGAACTTCCGAGCGAAGGCTGCGGTAAACCTCCACACACACAGCACCACACACACAGCACCACACACACAGCACCACACACATGCAGCACCACACACATGCAGCACCACACACACACAGCACCACCACACACACAGCACCACACACACACAGCACCACCACACACACAGCACCACAAAGACAAAGGTCCCCCGTATAGCCTTAACAGACTGTAGGGGCAAGTGCTGTTAGCGAGCACCTATGAAGGCCGGAACGGTAACACGAGGCCAACACCACGCCCGGCCGCCTTTGTCTCCCCAGTGCCCGATGTTTACACGCCGCACCAGGTACTCATTTGAGGCTTAGTCGACCTAGGGGAGGCCCAGGACCGGTTCAGATAATCGTCACTGGTGTTTGCTGTGAGCGGGAATCAAACCCGGGTCGCCAAGTTCGTAGTGCAGAGTAGCGCTAACCGCTACACCACCGCCCCTCCGCTACGGCGATCGTGTCCCCGACCCGCATTGCTGGCGATGGCTCGACTCAGACTTGGCTCGACTCAGACTTGGCTCCGGCTCAGGCCAGCCAGCTCAAAGTTGCGCGTCAGCCGAATCGGCTCCGAGCCACGGATCCCCGCCGCGCTCACGACTCCCGCGGCACGAGCCCGGGTGGGTGTCTCGTGCCGCGTGCGTCTTGGAAGCGTTGAGAGGCCGAGGCCGAGCCAAAGCCGTGCGGGGCACACAGGCCTCGGTTGCTCTGCTAGTTTTGTCGTTTTAATCATTAACAAACACGGAGGCCCGCGACAAGCCGTCGTGCAAGTCAAGTCCACGGATCGACACGTTGCGAAGATCCGTGCCGACGCAACTGAGCCGTAGAGAAGAGATGGGGGGTGGAAGGGGGGGCCTCACTGCCCCAGCTGAGCAAAGCCATCAGGATGGGGGGTGGGAGGGGTGGGCGCTCATCTCTGTGTTCACTCTAGCGGTGGGAGCAGCAGCGCCGACTGGGCGGGCGGGTGAGTGCTGGTACCTGGGCGCGGGCTGTGTTGCTGGCGCGGCGCCGGCCTCCGCGGAGGGCCGGCTGGCGGGCGGTGCGGCCGCCACGGGGCTGGCGCCGCTGGTTCCTGCGTGGCGGCGGGGGTGCAGCGGCGGCGGCGCTGCTGCTGGTGCTGCTGCTGGTGGCACCGCTGGTCTGAGCTCCTGCCGCGCCCTTGCCCTGCACACGGCGGCAGCGCGTGTCAGCGGCGCAAGCCGTGCCGCCGGCGCTGCTGGCGCAGGTGGCCTGTGTCCACAATCAGGATCTTTATTTCTAGTGGAGGAATCCCATGAGCTGTGGAGCTCTTTCTAACAGATGTCCAGTCAGGGCACCGGGTCACAACGTAGCAACAACACAAAAGCACGATAGGGATGCCAAAATAAAAGGTGAACAAATCGCTTTAAAAAATAATAATTAAACTATTTTTATCTTACCAGGTAAGGCCCACTTTGTCAGAAGCGATCTGGCCACAAATGATAGCGCAACCAAGTGGCTCGTCATCGTGTGTAAATTTAAAGTAGCAGCCAAATAGTGCGAAACGCATGCTTGTTGATTCGAGATGCGGAGGTAAAAAAATGGGGCCAGAGAAAAATCCACGCCGAACCACAGGAGGAGAGAGACGCAGACTCCAAATATACAGCAGCAGCAGGCAATCGTCAGGGTCGAACCCACGACCTCCTGTAGACCAGGCGAGGTAGCTAACATCTCCTAGCCACCGTGATTATGATGAGAGAGACGCAGACTCCAAATATACAGCAGCAGCAGGCATCGTTGAACCCACGACCTCCTGCGTACCAGGCGAAGTAGCTAACATCTCCTAGCCATCGTGGCAACCCCCATTTCCCGATGCACGGGGTCACGATTCACGCGAAACGATTTACAATTATTATCGTGATTTGAAGCTTTCGTGACTGCAGGATAATCCATACTCGTTGGTTCTTTCGGTAAAGTCACGTCGGTCGAAATAAAAAAATCACGACGTAGCATCGTTGAGTCTCCGCGCCAGCGCTTCTTGCGAACAAGCGACGCTACTCCAAACCGCAGCGCGACGCGACACCATCGCGAGCCCGTCGCCGCGGCGATGAGCCGCCCCTCTTTACCACCATGACGACCACGAAGTTCTTGTCGTCGATCTTGTACTCCCTGAGCGTCGACTCGTCGTTCAGGATCTTGCCTGTGGGCACAGCGCGGGGGGCGGGGGGGGGGGCAACGCTCAGCAACCGTACGGCTTTGTGCTGCGAAAGAGCCGTTGCACGAAACGTCGGCCATCATATACTTTTCTTGGCACTTGCTGGCTACGTACGGCGTGAAAGAAGCTCAGCATGCACACTGTCATTGACGAATGCGTACGAGTTAAACTATAAACTACTTTTCATTTCGATTTAAAGCTTTCGTGACTGCAGGGATTCATCTTCTTGGTTCTTTCGGTAAAGTCACGTGACTTTACCGAAAGAACCAAGAAGATGAACTACTTTTTATTTGACCAGGTAAGGCCCCACTGAACTACGTAGTTCTGTTTCAGAAGTGACCAGCCCACAACCGATAGCTCAACAAAGTGGCTTGTCGCGTGGAAATAGAAACCACCGCCAAACGCTCTAAACGCGTGGCGATGTTGATTCTAAACGTGCAGGGGAAAACAGGAGGACCCGGAGAAAAATCCACGCGACCACGGGGAGAGAGAGAGAGACACGCAAACTCAAAATACACAGCAGCAGCAGCAGGCGTCAGGGTCTGGACGGAACAGTTCCCAATTGTGCAATTTGCAGTGGAGTGCAAAACGTTTAACTAAATTTGAAACGCGATGCTGGCACACGGCGGCCGACCCTTGCGCGTGGCGTCACGGGATCTTTAAACGTCCGCTGCGAAGCCGACGGCGTGTGGCGTTTTCACGGTGAATGCACCGCACCGCCGTTATAACAAGGGCGGCCTATCGGATCCGAACCGCAAACCTCCGCCACAAGCGCATGTGAACTGTGTCCCGATTCAGCTTCGAGATCAACGCTGGACATTGTTCAGATCATTGAGATGAAGACCTGCAGCGACTGAAACATGTCTTTGTGCCAACAAGGCTGAACCGATGTCCCCCTCACGCCACGCGGCGCTTTCTGGTCCGTTCATTTCCATTGCCAATCAGTTCTGGGGCCGGCCATCCGGGCTGAGCACGCATTCTGCCCGTTCCTCGCTTAGAGCTCCCCTCCCCTCCTCCCCAGGGCCCCTCCTCCACTTCCTCCCTCTTCAACCCCCCCGTCCGTCGTCACCTGCAGCGTGATGCCCCAAGTGCCCCCTCACATCGCCGCTCCTCAACCCCCCCACCCCACCTCACTCCGTGCCACTGCCAGCGCAAGCCCAGCTGCCGAGCGCGCCGATGTGCAGGCCGCGTTCTTTCGGTAAAGTCACGTCGGTGAAAATAAAAATCAAATAAAAATGAAAACAACTCAGTTAAATCACGACGTTTCGGAGGCAACACGAGCCCCCGACATGAGGCGGGACAACCGCAGCAAAAACACGTTCACCCACGTGATCCATGCAGTCACGGAAACTCGTGTGTGTGTGTGTGTGTGCTGAACTTCATTCACACCATACATAGCCCAACCGCGCTAAGCGGAGGATTGTGGCCAACTCATGTCCGTCTTGGGGAGGTCCTGCTGTGTGCTCATGTGTCGCGCACGAGGCGGTTACCCACGCAAGCAGCGGTTACCCACACACGAGGTGGTTACCCACGCAAGCAGTGGTTACCCGCGCGCGAGGCGGTTACCTGCGTAAATTAACTTGAGCCCCGAGGCCGGGAAGGCGTCTGCTCCCTTCTCTGCCTCGATCTTCTCCTTGAAGCCCTTCACCTGCAGCGCACGAGAAGAGCCCCACAGACAAAGATCCCCCGTGTAGCCTCAAGTGACCGTTGGGGCAAGTGCCGTGAGCGAGCAGCACCTAATGAAGTGGCAATGTACACGACACACCGCACCGGATACTCATTTGAGGCTCAGTCGACTCAGGGGAGGAGACCCAGGACCGGTTCGGATAAGCGCCACTGTGGTGTTGGCGTGAACGGGAATCGAACTCGGGTCGCCGGGTTCGTAGCGCTAAACTACCGTCACACTTCCACTAACAACAACAACTAAGTGGTGGTGACGTCACCACGGCGCTTGTGCCAGGCCATGTGCACGTTGAGGCCAACCCCAACCCCCACACACAGACTGACAGACACCCACACACAGACACCCACACACAGACACCCACACACAGACACACAGACACCCACACACACAAAGACACACACAAACACACACACACAGACACCCACACACAGACAGACACCCACACACAGACACACAGACACCCACACACACACAGACACACACAGACACACACACACAGACACCCACACACAGACACACACAGACACAGACAAACACACACACACAGACACCCACACACAGACACCCACACACACACAGACACCCACACACAGACACCCACACACAGACACAGACAAACACACACACACAGACACCCACACACAGACACCCACACACACACAGACACCCACACACAGACACCCACACACAGACACAGACAAACACACACACACAGACACCCACACACAGACAACACCCTCCCACTCAACGCCCGCGGAATCGATCCGTCACGGAGTTCTAACTCAGCCTCCGTCGACGCCCCAACGGCTCAACCCCAACGGTTCAACCCACCAACTCAACCCACCAACTCAACCCACCAACTCAACGCACCAACTCAACTCACCAACTCAACCCACTGGGTCAACCCACCACTCACCAACTCAACCCACCAACTCAACCCACCGGGTCAACCCACCAACTCAACTCACCAACTCGACCCCACCGGTTCACACACGTCCCCCACTGCCTCCGAGCTGCCCGTTGCCAACGCTAACGTCACTTGCAGTTCCACTTAGACTCGTGCGAGCTTCATTGCCCGGCTTGGATCAATACACACGGCCTACGCGGAGGGTTGGGGGGGGGGTGACGTCAGCAGGCACACTGCGTGACGCTGCCGCATGCAGGTGACGTCACAGGTGTGACGTCACAGATATATTTTGCACGCACGTGAGCGGTGACGTCACAGATGTGACGTCACAGATATATTTTGCACGCAAGTGAGCGGTGACGTCACAGATGTGACGTCACCGCTCACTTGCGTGCAAAATATATCCATTATTGCGCCCACCCAACTCCCCCCAAAAAACAAAAGTGTACTTTTAGACTTTTTTCATTGTGTCCAGTCTAGAAGCTACCCACATGGAAAATGTAAAGTTTGTTGCATGTCATGAAGTACGCTAAACATTTCGAACAGACACACATATTCACAAATTTCCCTTTAATAGTAGGTTTTTACCCTTTAAATTAGTACAAAACTGACACCTTTATACAAGGCATCATGTTTGCAATAACCACAACACAAGTAGTCAAAATGCAAACAAAAAGAAAACAACTCTGATGATGATAATGATATGCACTGTCCTTGAAGTTGATTGGTCCACACCCGCGTCATCTGGTCCAACACGGATGGAGACTAAGCTCTAAGGAAAGCCGAGGGCAAGCCAGGAGACCTCGCCGCGATGGCCGGCTTGCAGGAGCGTCCAACACGACGATTGCGTTTTGTCGACAGGAGAAATGGTGAAATGAACGCAAAGCATGCAATGTGGCTGTTACTCAACGTGTCGCGGCCTCCTGCCAACACACACATCGGGCCCAGCATCTCACAACTCCATTATCGCTCCTCCTGCTAACGGTTGCTGCCTCCTCGCAGCGAGAAGCTCTCAACCCTTGAGCCCAGGGGGTTGTGACTGGTACAACCTGGGGGGGGGAGGGGGGGGGGGGGGTGCCACGTGTGTCCACCACGGACGAGCGTCCACCCACAGACACCCCTCATATTCATTTTACAATCCGTAGATGTTTCATACCGCACGGCTGAGCCCTGTTCAATGGCCGTTGACCCATTCAACGCTGCAACGGCTGCACTGCTATCACACAGATCTGTGATCTCGAGGTTACAGGCTTCAGAGAAAACGTTGGTAGCAGTCGTAACCCTGAGAGGTACCGACGAGACAGTTTTTGGCAAATGGCTCGAGGGCTATTTGAGGGTGTGAATCGCGCGAATGGTGATGATGGATTCTCGTTCGGTTCCTCACACCTGCCCAGGCCACTTGCCCGTGGGAGTGGCCACACTTGCCCTTTGACCCCGCCCTGAAGGTCACGTGGTGGTTAATAACTCCAGCCAAAAAAACACATCGCAAAACCCCGTCCTCAAACACAAACCCAGCCGCAACCCCAAATCACCGACCACTATCACAGCGACAAACACAACTCTATCCATAGCCCTAAACACAACCCAAAGCCAACTCAATCAACCAACTGGCCAACCTCACTCCCCCCACTCCAGTTTCAGTCCAAGCTCAGCCCCCCAAACACAGAGAGAGAAACACAACCCCCAATCCACCTCCATCCCAAACCCAAACAACATCCTCACTGCAACATCACGCGTCCCTGCCACGGTGGCAACCTTCACTCAAAACCTCAACCACAACCCTGACCCCAAGCACAACGCAACCACAACCACAACCCTTGACCCCAAGCACAACGCAACCACAACCCTGACCCCAAGCACAACGCAACCACAACCACAACCCTTGACCCCAAGCACAACGCAACCACAACCCTGACCCCAAGCACAACGCAACCACAACCACAACCCTTGACCCCAAGCACAACGCAACCACAACCCTGACTCCAAGCACAACGCAGCCACAACCACAACCCTTGACCCCAAACACAACGCAACCACAACCCTTGACCCCAAACACAAGGGGGCATTGCGTCGTTCTGCGTCGTTCTGCGTCGTTCTGGGTGACCAGAGTCTGCACCGCAGCCACGGCTGGAGACTTTTACTCTCCGGATCTTTGGGTAAAAGTCACGGAGGTACAAAATTAAAATAAATGACGACGTTTCGGGCGCAACGCAAGATGACAGACGCTTGTGCTGCGCCCGAAACGTCGTGATTTATTTCGTTTCATACCAAACGTGACTTTACCGAAAGAGAAATAATAAAATAATTCTCACGACGTTTCGGCCACAACGCAAGCAGCCGTCCTCAGGTGAAGAAACAGAGCTGTCGGAAAGACAGCGTCCTAATGAACACCGCTAAGCTTGGCAGCGTATATTTAAGCTGGGTGGGAGGAGCAGAGCGCCTTGACAAAGGGAGTTTACATATCAACAGAGGAATTTAGCTGTCTATCCAACAGCTCTGTTCTTCACCTGAGGACGGCTGCTTGTGTTGTGGCCGAAACGTCGTGATAATTTTATCGTTTTATTTTTGTTTTATTATTTCCCTTCTACGTGACTTTACCGAACGATCCAAGAATATGAATCCCTGCAGTCACGAAAGCTTCAAACCACGACTGGAGGCTTGTTTTCATTTCTCCATTCGTGCATCATCAGCGAGCACCCACAACTGGTTGGTGCTGTGGGCGATGCGGTTTGGGGTGTAAGATCAAACCCCAGCGATGGTCTGCGTTGGGTCTTCCAGCGGATAAGGGAAGAAGATGTGTCCTCCTACCGCTCCATCGTACACACCGCAGGACCGGGTCCTACAGCGGACGACCATCAGAGTCCACTCCGTTCAACAACAATAACAACAACGGCACTCAAACCCCCTCTTCTCTCTCCGTCGCAAAACACAAGGGGGTAGAAAAAAAAAAACCTTCCTTCTCAGAAAATGCCATTTAAAAATAAACACCGCTCTGGGTAATAAATAGTATAAATAGCCGGGCTGGAATTAGTGAAACGGAATGTAAACACCTCTTGGCAAAAACCAAAAAAAATGTAAAATGAAAACTCCGTGGCACATGCGTACAAACCCCAGCTATAATTTGACAGGCAACAGTTATAATACCGAACACCCAAGAGTTGAGATGAGTTGAATAAGCCTGAGCACAACTGGAAATAAACGTAAGACTCGTTTAAAAGAGACGGGGGCAGCATTTGCACGTCCATCTGTGCATGTCTGACGCACCGCGCGGTGGCGAATGACACTAAAAGTAGACGAAATTTTCTGTCTAACCAAGCAAGGGCCACTAAGCTACGTGGCCATCAGAAACGACGGCTCAACGCAGCGTGGTTCATTACTGCGCGGACATTTAGATCGGCCAAATTCTCTAAAACGCATGCTGGCGTTGATGTTGATGTCGATTCTAAATGTGGAGGGAAAGTCCGGAGGAGCCGGAGACAAAATCCACGCGACCACGGGGAGAGAGACGCAGACTCCAAATCTACAGCAGCAGCAGCAGGCATCGTCAGGGTGGGGATGGAAGCCACGACCTCCTGTATACCAGGCGAGGTAGTCAACATCTCCTGGCCACCGTGATGATGATTATGAGAGACCCTGACTCACATGCAGCAGCAGCAGGCATCGTCAGGGTCGGGATGGAACCCACTACCTCCTGTATACCAGGCGAGGTAGTCAACATCTCATAGCCACCGTGATGATGAGAGACACAGACCCAAATTATACAGCAGCAGCAGGCAACCGTCAGTTGGGATCGAGCCCACGACCTCCTGTAGACCAGGCGAGGTAGTCAACATCTCATAGCCACCGTGGTACCCATACTACGTTAGAGCGCCACGAATCAGTGAGTGTAGTGAGTGTGAGGTGAGTGTGTGGTGAGTGTATGGTGAGAGTGTGGTGAGTGTGTGTGGTGAGTGTGTGTGGTGAGTGTGAGGTGAGTGTGTGGTGAGTGTGTGGTGAGTGTATGGTGAGAGTGTGGTGAGTGTGTGTGGTGAGTGTGTGTGGTGAGTGAGTGGTGAGTGTGTGGTGAGTGTGGTTAGTGTGTGGTGAGTGTGTGGTGAGTGTATGGTGAGTGTGTGGTGAGAGTATGGTGAGTGTGTGGTGAGAGTATGGTGAGTGTGTGTGGTGAGTGAGTGTGGTGAGTGAGTGGTGAGTGTGTGTGGTGAGTGTGGTGAGAGTGTGGTGAGAGTGTGGTAAGTGTGTGGTGAGTGTGTGTGGTGAGTGTGTGTGGTGAGTGTGTGGTGAGTGAGTGTGGTGAGTGTGGTGAGTGTGTGGTGAGTGTGTGGTGAGTGTGTGGTGAGTGAGTGTGGTGAGTGGTGAGTGTGTAGTGAGTGTGGTGAGTGAGTGGTGAGTGTGTGGTGAGTGTGCGGTGAGTGTTGTGTGAGTGTGGTGAGTGTGTGGTGAGTGTGCGGTGAGTGTTGTGTGAGTGTGGTGAGTGTGTGGTGAGTGTGCGGTGAGTGTTGTGTGAGTGTGGTGAGTGTGTGGTGAGTGTGGTGTGAGTGTGGTGAGTGTGTGATGAGTGTGTAGTGAGTGTGGTGAGTGTGTGATGAGTGTGTGGTGTGTGGGTGAGTGTGAGGTGAGTGAGGTGAGTGTGGTGAGTGTGTGGTGAGGGTGAGTTGAGTGAGGTGAGTGTGGTGTGTGGTGAGTGTGTGGTGAGTGAGGTGAATGTGGTGAGTGTATGGTGAGTGAGTGGTGAGTGTGTGGTGTGTGGTGAGTTAGGTGAGTGTCACGTGGTGAGTGGTGAGTGTGTCACGTGGTGAGTGGTGAGTGTGTCACGTGGTGGGTGTGTCACGTGGTGAGTGTGTCACGTGGTGAGTCGTGAGTGGTGAGTGTGGATCACGTGGTGGTGAGTGTGGATCACGTGGTGGTGAGTGTGGATCACGTGGTGGTGAGTGGTAAGTGTGTCACGTGGTGAGTGGTGAGTGTGTCACGTGGTGAGTGAGTGGTGAGTGTGTCACGTGGTGAGTGTGAAACTTGTTCGCAGGCCCCACCGTCTCATCGGGGTCGGCGTCCACCCTGAATGTGGTGAGTGTGTCACGTGGTGAGTGAGTGGTGAGTGTGTCACGTGGTGAGTGGTGAGTGTGTCACGTGGTGGTGAGTGGTGAGTGTGTCACGTGGTGAGTGAGTGGTGAGTGTGTCACGTGGTGAGTGGTGAGTGTGTCACGTGGTGGTGAGTGGTGAGTGTGTCACGTGGTGAGTGGTGAGTGTGTCACGTGGTGAGTGAGTGGTGTGTCACGTGGTGAGTGAGTGGTGTGTCACGTGGTGAGTGTGTCACGTGGTGGTGAGTGGTGAGTGTGTCACGTGGTGAGTGGTGAGTGTGTCACGTGGTGAGTGAGTGGTGTGTCACGTGGTGAGTGTGTCACGTGGTGGTGAGTGGTGAGTGTGTCACGTGGTGAGTGGTGAGTGTGTCACGTGGTGAGTGTGTAACTTGTTCGCAGGCCCCACCGTCTCATCGGGGTCGGCGTCCACCCTGAATGTGGTGAGTGTGTCACGTGGTGAGTGAGTGGTGAGTGTGTCACGTGGTGAGTGAGTGGTGAGTGTGTCACGTGGTGAGTGTGTGGTGAGTAAGTGGTGAGTGTGTCACGTGGTGGTGAGTGGTGAGTGTGTCACGTGGTGAGTGTGTGGTGAGTGTGTCACGTGGTGAGTGAGTGGTGAGTGTGTCACGTGGTGAGTGTGTGGTGAGTAAGTGGTGAGTGTGTCACGTGGTGGTGAGTGGTGAGTGTGTCACGTGGTGAGTGAGTGGTGAGTGTGTCACGTGGTGGTGAGTGGTGAGTGTGTCACGTGGTGAGTGAGTGGTGAGTGTGTCACGTGGTGGTGAGTGGTGAGTGTGTCACGTGGTGAGTGAGTGGTGAGTGTGTCACGTGGTGAGTGTGTAACTTGTTCGCAGGCCCCACCGTCTCATCGGGGTCGGCGTCCACCCTGAATGTGGTGAGTGTGTCACGTGGTGAGTGAGTGGTGAGTGTGTCACGTGGTGAGTGGTGAGTGTGTCACGTGGTGGTGAGTGGTGAGTGTGTCACGTGGTGAGTGAGTGGTGAGTGTGTCACGTGGTGGTGAGTGGTGAGTGTGTCACGTGGTGAGTGAGTGGTGAGTGTGTCACGTGGTGAGTGGTGAGTGTGTCACGTGGTGGTGAGTGGTGAGTGTGTCACGTGGTGAGTGTGTAACTTGTTCGCAGGCCCCACCGTCTCATCGGGGTCGGCGTCCACCCTGAATGTGGTGAGTGTGTCACGTGGTGAGTGAGTGGTGAGTGTGTCACGTGGTGAGTGGTGAGTGTGTCACGTGGTGGTGAGTGGTGAGTGTGTCACGTGGTGAGTGAGTGGTGAGTGTGTCACGTGGTGAGTGAGTGGTGAGTGTGTCACGTGGTGAGTGGTGAGTGTGTCACGTGGTGGTGAGTGGTGAGTGTGTCACGTGGTGAGTGAGTGGTGTGTCACGTGGTGAGTGTGTCACGTGGTGAGTGAGTGGTGAGTGTGTCACGTGGTGGTGAGTGGTGAGTGTGTCACGTGGTGAGTGAGTGGTGAGTGTGTCACGTGGTGAGTGTGTAACTTGTTCGCAGGCCCCACCGTCTCATCGGGGTCGGCGTCCACCCTGAATGTCTGCTGCTGCAGCGTCTTGAGCGTGATGAGCATGGCGAGCGGCCTTGCGCGAGCCGACGACGAGGTGACGGTGGAGGAGGTGGTGAGGAGGGTGAGGAGGTGGTGAGGTGAGGGTGGTGAGGTGAGGGTGGTGAGGTGAGGTGGTGAGGAGAAGGCCTCTGGCGGGTGCCAAGCGGAGACTCCTGACTCACTGTGCCGCGCATGCGCACTCGGGGGTGGGGGCGTTAACTTCGCGTCCCGGCGCTGCATGTCAGGTGAGAGGGATTTTTTCCCTCCGGATTTAAATCGAAATAAAATTGGTCAATATTCTGTGTTTCTTTCGGTAAAGTCGCGTAGCTAGAAAGAATGATAATGAAAATGAAGTGATTACAAATATCACGGCGTTTCGATCGCAACACCAGCGGTCGAAATGTCGTGATGTTTTTTTAACTTTATTTTTATTATTAAAGAACCACAGAATATGAATTCCCACTGTCACGAAAATTTGAAGTCAAAATTAAAAATTAAAATTTTTTATCTCAATATTAACAAATATTGATATGAACATAAAATGTAAATAAGTATTTGTCTGCATATTCATATCAATATTTATCTGAATGTTTATTTGTATAAATAGGAAATATTTATATAAATAAGTATCTGTTTATTGCTATAAATATGTATCTGAAGGGTTATTTACATAAATAAAAATGGTTGTTTATTCATATAAATATGTATTTCAATGTTCATTCATATAAATATGTATCTGCATACTTATTTATAGCTGGGGGGAAGAATCTGATGAGCTATAAGAAAGATGAACAAATCACACAGACAACAACTACACCACCACAGACCCGTCAACCCCTTATCAGATCTTATTGATCACCCCGTGCCTCTGATAATCTCAACGTTCATCCGACAAAGTTCCATCACAAGGGAGAAACACAAACGCAGAGACACATTTTGTTAGGCCGATTGAAACGGCTGTCTGCCCGATGCGACCTGAAAACTCAATTTCGCTGCGCAAGAATTACGGCTAAACCGTAGAGGTCGACAGCTCTGAAACCATCCCAGTCCTACCAGCAAGCCCCCACTGAGGCTATTAACTTATATCGTGATTTGAAGCTTTCGTGACTGCTTCTTTCGGTAAAGTCACATCGGTAGACAAATCATAGATCACGACGTTTCGATCGCAACGCCAACTTCAGCAGTTTTCTCTTGATGTGGGTGTCCCACCTGATGACGATTGCCTGCGTGCGATCGAAACGTCGTATCGATAACACTGGTCAACAAAAAATAAAATTCTCACCTGACTTTTGCAGCTGTTCTAATTTCAGGGTGCTGGTTCCAAATCTGATCTCAGATTTGCTCTATCACATCTCATTTTATGCTATCGACATACCCCATTTTCATTGATTTACCCAAAATTAACTCTGTCACTTATGATTGCAAGTTGTTGCGAGTCAGTGACTGCTTTAGTGTTAAAATATGGTGCTGTATTTTTAGGATAGTGTGTTTATAATATCATTTTATGTAGATATCCACATTATTTAATATTTTTATTCTGCAGTTTTTTTTTAAATGCAATATTTTATATCTCAAAAACCTGATGTGATAGACAAAAACTGATGCCAGATTTGGAATCAGCACCCCAAATTACATTAAAACCGTTGGAATACCTTATGCCAGAAAAGTGTGTTGACCAGTGTTATATTTCGACCTACGTGACTTTACCGAAAGAACCAAAGTCATTGTTTTTTATTTCAGAAGCCAACAAAAGTGGCCGACCATCATTTGGACATTTCTAGCGGCGAAATGGAACCATTCGTGATTCGAAGCGTCCGTGGACTTTCGCTAAAAGTCACGTGGACAAGAGAAAACAGGACGCTTCGGTCGCAACACCACAAGCGTCCGTCTTCAGGGAGAAAGAACCAGAGAGAAGATGGAACCAGGTTTGTGCGAGATGCAATAGCCGGTTGACGAGCTGGAGGTAGACCCACAAGGGTGACAATTGGTGGACAACATCAATGGGTGGACGAGTCTCACGCTGCAGCAGCAGACAATGGGGATTGCAGAAGACGCGAGAAGTCAGTGGCGGAGGATGGCCCACGGTGTGGCCAGACCTCGCATCCAGGACGGCTGGAGACGGGACAAGGGGCTGGGTGCGGGGGAGGGGCTGGGTGGGGGATGGTGGGGAGGGGCTGGGTGGGGGGGGGGGGTGGGGAGGGGCTGGGTGGGGAGGGTGGGGAGGGTGGGAAGGGGCTGGGTGGGGAGGGGCTGGGTGGGGAGGGTGTGGCTGGGTGGGGGTGGGAGCGGTTGCGCTGGGTTGGGGAGGGGCTGGTCACCCCGTGGTGCCCCTTATAAAACTCAACGTTTAACCTACTCACGCCGGCTTGGTGCCCGCCCTCACAGTCGGGTATATTGCGGAATACACCACGCCGCCGTTGACCCTGCAGGCCATTGACCGAGCAACCCAACGTTCCTACCAGCTCCCTCCGCAGGAATGTGTTTTAATGTCCTGTGCATCCCCTAGGGGGCCGGCCATAAATGACGTCACGCACCTAGGGGAGGGGGGGGGTCAGACATTTGTGACGAGGTGTGACGAGGGGGGGGGGGGGTGAGAAATGTGACGTTACATCAAAATGCGCAACTTTAAATAAATATAGACACGTTCTACTTAATTAAATAGACTTTTTAATGTTTTCTCCTACACATCAGAGTGCAGCGCCACATTAGAACGCACTACAATGACAATAGTTAAAGCGATTTGAAGCCTGTTTTATTTTTTAAATGGAAATATGTTTTTTTGTGGGGGGGGGGGGGGCAGAGCTTTGTGACGTCATATTTGAGAGGGGGGGGTTCTGACTTGTGACGCCGTGTGAACGAGGGGGGGGGGGGTCAAAAATCCTCCAAAATCGCGTGACGTAATTTATGGACGGCCCCTAGGTTGACTCGCCTTGTGTCAACCGCCAGCTCTGTGGGGCTGAAGGTGTGGTCGTCTGTGGTACTGGTAACACCGCCTCCACACGCGCATTAGTGATAGGGTTTTTACCCTTTTACCTGGCACAAAACGACACCTTTATACAAGGGATCATGTTTGCATTAACCACAACGCTTGCGGTCAAAAATGCAAACAAAAAACACAGCTCTGATAATGTGTGAACTGTGTCTTGAACTTGATTGGTCCACACCCGAGACGGCTTTTCTTAGAGCCTAGTCTCACGTGGTGTTGGACCAGATGACCCAACTTAAAGACAACGCACCATCAGAGTAGTTGCTGGCGTTAGTGAATCGTTGACAGCACTTGCCCCAACAGTCTCCACGGGCTCTCGGGAGGAGATCTGTGTGCGCGTGTGAACAGAATTCGACTTGGCATCAACAACCTCACCCCCAACTCACCACATCCACACACCAACTCACCAACTCACCACTCCTCAACTCACCACTCCACACACCTCCCCCAACTCACCACTCCACACACCTCCCCCAACTCACCACTCCACACACCTCCCCCAACTCACCACTCACACACCTCCCCCAACTCCCCACACTCACCACACACACACACCTCCCCAACTCACCACTCCACACCTCCCCCAACTCACCACTCCACACACACCACCTCCCCCCCACCTCACCACCCCCCAACCACACCTCCCCCAAATCACCACTCCACACACCCCTCCCACAACCACCACCCCCAACACCCTCCACCCCCCAACTCACCACTCCACACACCTCCCCAACTCACCACTCCCACACCTCCCACAACTCAACTCACCACCCAACACCACTCCCCAACTCACCACTCCCACCCCCCCCAACTCACCACAAACTCCGCCCCAACTCACCACTCCACAACACCACTCACACCACTCCCCAACTCACCACACCCACTCACCACTCACACACCGCCCCCCAACACCACTCCACACCCTCACCAACTCACCACTCCACACACCACTCCCCAACTCACCACCACACACACCTCACCAACTCACCACTCCACACACCACTCCCCAACTCACCACCACACACCTCCCCAACTCACCACCCAACACGCCTCACCAACTCACCACCCACACACCACTCACCCACTCACGACTCCACAGGCCTCCGCTAGGACACCACTCCAAACACCGTGCCGAGACCCAATGCGGGACTCACCCACATTGGCACGCGTCCTGCCATCATCAAGTGCGGACCCATCGCACCGCACGGCTCCACGTCGCCTCAATGGAACACCGCGCGCACTTCGACTCTCGCCGAGGCCACGGAGACTCACGCAACCAGCCCGTGCAAGGGGCAGCAGCAGCAGGATGACAAGCGGCAAGTCTTTTTTTGTGACTTATTCAGAAGCCACACTGAGTCACACGACTCTTTTTGAGGAGGATCCTGCCAGTGGGTTCTTGCTCTGCGATATTTTCATACAATGAATGAGCGGTTTATACTTGTGGGGAGGAAAATAGAACACTCGTGAGAAAACCCGCACGTGACGCAAGGGAGCACACTCGATCCCCGTGCAGATGGTGATGGCAGTTTCTCAAGATTTGTGCGATCCACCTACCCTCGCCTCCAATGTTGGATTCCAGGCGTGCTACCACCACCACCGCCCGGCTAAGGGGAGACGCAGTCATCGACTTACGAAACAATTCGTTCCTGAGCCTGTTAGTAAGTCCACCGGTTGTAAGTGGAAAGACCATAATGCAACGTGTTTAAACGCCCATAGGCCAGTGTTGTTAAGTGTTGCGGTTGAACAAGCATTGTTCAGCTTATAAGAACATTGTACATTTTAAGTCGATGTTATTTTGTATATTTCATGTCAGCCGGTTCGTAAGTACGGGTGTTCACGAGTCGAAGACTGCCCGCACTTGAACAGCAGTCTCGGCCAAACATCAGACGCGCGTACAAAACTCTGCGAGGCCTTCAAGACGTGAGCACAGCAAGTTTAGATTTTTATTCACGCATTTCTCTGTGGTGTCCGAGCCCTGACCCCCCACGTGAACCTATCGACGGCGGCTGTACCCCTCCACCAGCCCCTTCTACACGGCAGCAGGCCAGACAGTTTTAGTGAAACGGCTGCATCAAAAACAAATCTAATCTACTCAATCTCCTGGTTACACCAGCCCACAGGGGATTATTGTGTCCGTCGTGCAGGGAAGGGCTGGGTGGGAGGTTGGGGCTGGGTGGGGCTGGGTGGGGAGGGGCTGGTCACCCGTGGTGCCC